TTATCCTTTATAACATATTGTATATCTATTTCACACATTAATATGCTCGATGTTTCTTTATTCGCCAATCCCTAGCACTACATGACCATCAGGTAATGTAGGTACTGGACATTACAACTGATAAGCTTCTTGTCAGCAAAAACGCTTTAAAAGTCAACGCTGAAAAGATAGTACATCTACTGGAAGCAGAAAGAATGCAGCACACAATTACATACATATATCATTTATAAATGTAACCTTCGTTCCTACTTAACAATGAATCTGTCAACGGGGATGCATAATATAAACCCAGATGCAATAATTGATGTCTATATTTTACTGGGTGATGGGAACATGTAGGCTGCATCATACGAATCCAAAAGATATTGGAATTCTGCAAGGAGGCAAACAAATCGCTACATAAGAATGACTCTTTCCTCGGTATATGGCTGTTTTTTATGTTTCGAACAAAACAACGGCAAAGCTTATGAGACCTTGTTTGGTCTGATCCTATGAGAGAATGTAAGCCCTGCCCAAATTGAACAACACTATAGAGGACTAAAAAAGAGTGCAAATTCAGGAGGACTAAACCATTACATACCCAGTGGTCGTTCACATCGACTACCTTAGTCCTGCGCCGTTCTCCAGCAGCACATCGTCCATGGCCATGGCCTCGCACAACGTCGTCCAGCGCAGCAGCGATGCCTGCTGCACACGTTCTTCCAATTTACGCTCCCCACATGCTGCAAAAGACCAACGAAACACATGTGTGCTCGAATCATTCAACAAGGTGGCCCAAATCAGTGCCAATTCAAGGCCAGCAGTATCAAAAATCATGTACATAATGAGAATTTCAAAAGGAAAGATCATGCATATATATATAGAAGAAACACTAATAGACATGATTTTGAGCAATCCAAGAATCTGGTAAAAGTTAAATCTCAAATGTATAGGGAATATTAGTATTATCTTTCTCATACCTTCTCTTCATTCTGGAAAGACAATGATTAGAGATATATATACCATGCAGATAATTGAGATTTTGTTAACACGTGCTACACACATCAACCTGCACTCTGATGGTAAATTATTCAGAAAAAAAATTGACATAGAGCAAGAAGAAATCATATTTCAGTCTTGAAATAGAAAAACAGTATACCTATTATCCCATCTCAGTAAATATTTGACACTCAAGATAGTAGTACAATAATCTGTACCAACAAAATAGGGCAGGTCATAACCAAAAACTCAAGACGAGTTTGAGCTCTTTATTGAGAATCAGACCAAGAACCATAGAAAATTTAAGAAAGAAGATGGAAAATGAGGCATAGCTTACTGTGTGGTTGGACCCGGTCCAGCCGAAGAGGAAGCAATCAGGCATCATGGACCCTGTTGTAGAAGTCCTCGATGGCAAATAAGGACCCCGGGGCGGGGCGGTGTTGAGCAATGGCAAGACAGAGACGTCGACATGCTTCACGCGCAGCCCCGGGACAGACTCCTCAAACACCTCCGCTGTTGTTCAACGACGGGTCAGCTACGTCTGTCCGTGCGTGAGCAAAGAGAAGAAGGTTCGGATCAGAGAGCGTACTGGCGTGGAGGAGGCCTTGCGAAGAGAGCCCGTCCTCGAGATGCCCGATCCATACCATACGGCATCCCACACAGCCGCTGTTGACCACCGAAGCACATCGTCCCACTTTGATTCCATCCAGTCGGAGGTCTGCGACATCCAGATGGAGCCACCTCCATTGCCAATTCCACCTCCCGAGTACCGCATCACCTGGTTGTCTTCTTCATCTCCGGCAAGCCAACGCCATCGGGCTTCCGTCTTTAAAAACTGAAAATTGTTACACACTAAAGAGTACAAGACGAACAAATAATGATTGCAATTTTTTGACCCTGCGACCTGAAGTGCGTTAGTATCCTTAAATGTTCATAATCAAGAATTCTTTTGTGAATATCACTTAGAAAGTTAGAATCATGAAGAACGAATCTTACACATAACCGCTTGGCAGGAGCGGTTCGCTGTCTTATCAAATTATACGCATAGACAGTGACTTAATGAAAAGATTTATTCTTGACACACACTAAAAGAATGAAATTAACAACTTCATTAACACCCAATGACCGATTCCTCAGGTTGATTTATCAAATTAAATTAGTAGGCGGGCTGGCTCAACAACACCGGGCTATAAGATGCAACCTTTGTTTTAGAACTCATGGCAGGAAATATGCTTGTTGTTCAAGAGAGACGGACGAAAAAGGCAAGAGACATGATCTTGGGGAGCAATGGTCACTTCTTCTCCAGCCTCCACGTGCGGTGCAACCATGTAGTTGATGCACTTTTCGCTTTGCTCCACTTAGGCAATGCCTATCGCAGCACAATGCTCTTGAGCAAGGAGAAGTAGCAATTGGCCAGGTTCTTCGTGGTCTTGAACTCCTACATCAAAGGTCATAACTAATCGAACATGACAATCAATCTTAATCAAGCAACCGATCATTCAATAACTAACTAAGAGAGACATGGTACTTACAGCGCCAACGAGGTCATCTTCTAGAATTGCTAGTTCAACATCATCTCTATCAGGTCATCTCCCATCTGCCTCACTCCTACCGGTGGGAGGTAATAGTGAAGAATAATCATGTCCAGGAGATGCAGCCTCAAACATCTCTTTGTTGCTGGAGTGACTTAGAGCTATTAAACCTGCTCCAAGACTAGCTAAAGCTGGACATACTATAACAGGGAGACCAGTGTTTTTCCTTAGTAGTCAAAATTCTTTGTGAACCAAACAAGCAGCTGCCTACACTCACTACCCTGCAAAGCATGCCAGGAATAAGATAGAGCGGAAGCTCTGTAGAATATAACTTTAGTCAGTTGCATACTTAGACAACTGGAAATTTAGAAAACACCAAATACACATTAGGCAATGTCAGAATCGTGAGTTAATACCAATGAGGATGCGGCCATACCGGACAGGCCTGCCTGTAAAGTGCAGGGTGTGCTCCTTACCAATAGGGCACGATTAGGAGGTGGTAGGGGATGTTGCGTGCGCTGTTGACATGGCGGGTGGAGACGGTGGCCAGCGTGCGGCTCCCTAGAAGACGACCTTCTTCCGCCACCATGCCCAGCATCCTGGCAAGTGCGCCCTCCCGGCTCAGCACACCGACGACAAGCTCGACGGTGACCTGGCTGGCGTACACCCGCTTCAGCGTCATTAGCTCGAACACCTCCCAGGCGACCCAGAACCGGCCGGTGCGCTGCACCGCGTGCAGCACGGCGTTGAAGGCGGAGAGTGAAGGGAGCACGCGGTGGAGCGCCAGGTACCGGCAGGCCTCGAGGGCCTCCTTCGGGAGGTGAAGCTGCGCATAGGCGTGCACCAAGAGGTGGAGGCCGCGGGCCGTCGCGGAAGTGCCGCTGTCCTTTCTTCTTTCTTCCTCCTCAAGACTTGTACTCTGTTTGAGATAATTCTGTTGTAATCCCGCATTCAAATAAAGAGCACTAGGATTTACTACGAACTATTTGAAATGGAGTAATGGGATAAAGCACAACAATTCTAGCACGGCCAAAATCTATCTAAGAACCATGGAAAGTATCTCCTATGTACGCTATGTAGTTTTATGTGCTGCCATTTCACGAGGGAAATAGGGTTACCCCTCAAAAAGAAAAACCACGAGGGAAATAGGTGTAAGTTGTGTGTTGTCGGATTTCGTGTGTTGGTGAACCATCTTTAGCTTATTCCATACATTTTTTGCTTCAACTATACAAGGTTTAGGGATAGGGTTTTGTTGACTCCTTTTCCATTGACCGGTAATGCAAGTATGATGTGTATCTCCTCCAGTGAATAATGTAAACTTATGTATTTTGATGAAATGGAATGCAGTTTCTATCTCGCAAAAAAAGGGCTGCAATTTCTCTTTGGGCTGTTTTTTATCTAATAGAATAAATTGCATTTATGTTGTTTTCATTTAGATTAATTCACACAGATTATACATGTATCATGATCACAGACTGATTATCAGAGGAGGCGATGTATCAATCGTGACCGACAACGTCGACCTTGGGCATGGACTTGGGATCAAAATCACAACAACATCTGTCATCAGTCATGCAAAAAAGATGCGGTGTTCCCAATAGTGTCAACGCAAAAAGCTAGTACACAGAATGGAACAAAAAGCTAGTACATATAATGGATTAATTACTTGATCGCTTATATGTTCACCGACTGTAGGCATGGCAGGACAGCATCATGGCCGATCTAAGATCTTTTCTAGTATTCTTTGTGGTTTGATATTGGGGCGACGTGTTGACATAGCTCGTTATATAGAGGGGGAGATGTAATCACGCAGATCGATCCAGCCTGCCTCCGTTTATGGCGTTTACGGAGAGGATTAACTACCTGCCTAATTTTAGGATGGAATTAATGCATTAATTAATGGTTAATTATCGCCTCCTTGCTTCTTAGAATGAAAATTGATCCGTTTTCTATCTTTTGGAATTTCATATACACGCTCATCTCGCTGTCCACTCATCTCCACAACCATGGTTCAGATTGCAAAAACTAACAAACAAAAAGATGGCCTCACTTGCATGGCACCGTCAACTTTCACCATGCCACACTTTGGAGGAAAAGCTTACGTACTTTGATAATAAATAGTGAATTCAGTGCAAGTATGCGTGATCATGGACGACGTAGCCCTGCGGATACGCGCTATTGTCCATGGAGACTCTGGATCGGTCGGGTGCATGAACCGGTGCCAGAAGAGACGATGGCGAGAGGGTAGGGGAGGGCGTGGCAAGGACGAGAGCATACGTATTGGGGAAGACGAGAGACCTGCGGTGCGTGCCGGGAGAGAGATATGTACAAGTACATTGCGACATGACGAATCTCAAACTCAGAACAATGATGCACTCTTTTGTGTTTTCTTGTTATTCAAAATGCAATTGCTGAGACGCACGCATGCATATACATACATGTCCTGATCACCCCACAATGTGTGTCCAATAATGAATCAAGGCTATGCTATCAAGCATGACGGACGACGTCGTCGGCGACCTCGGGCCGTGCGGCCATGTCGCAACAGCATTCATCAGTCACGGGCTGGCAGCGGGGTCTATTTGGGGTATTGTTTTTGGCACATGCTTCCTTGCATAACGACTGCACGCATGGTCCGGGGATATCAAAGCAGATATCTACACACGAAAAAAAAATAGTTAGCAAAAGGTATGGATTATATACAACGGATCAGTTTGTAGATTGGTACTACAACCAATAGCTTGCTGGTACTTGCATACAAACAATATCTTGTTGGATTCATAGATCACATATAAAATATTAGTACATCTGTAAATAAATATAAGACATTTTAAAAGGCTTGCGTCCAGAGTTTTACAGAGGCAGATA